TTGTTGTGTTTTGTGCATTGTGTTTTGTTTGAACGTGTTGTCACTTAGTGTAATGTGTGTTACTTGTCTGTTGTGTCCTACTGTGTACTACTGCCACCGGGCTAAAACCCAATTGCAGTATAATATATAATATATATAATACCAGATGATTAGGGCTGTATACAGGTGAAACATGCAGTGCGGGAGAAGGGCGACGAGATAATAAGTTGCATTTAAGACAGAACTATACATGTACATAAGTAACTGTTACATAAATTCGTGGATAATATACACCTTTCAGTAAACTGTAAGATTACCAGTTGGTCTGTGGAAATTATGTCAGTGCCCGGTGCAGATAGTATGGTGCTCTGAATTTGAAGAATTACATATTTATAAACTATATCATTAAAGCAATATACTCAATAGGCATATTAAATCTCTTAAATACACCTCGACATGATTTCTCTGAGCACCAGCAATAATTGCTCATTTTATACCAAAGTATACTTTATTACCATCAGCTCAATTTTCCCAGGTTACACCATATGATATGACAGGCTAACTGAAAGTGTCCAAAATATATTGCCCTTAATAGTTCTAAGTTCAAAGAAATGCAAGTAATGAACCCCTTATCTGCCAAACATCAAAGAAGGAAAAGATGTTACTGAAATTTTAAGCAGCCAGTGCTACAAAAAAAATTAATGTATAGGAAAACACCCACACCAGCTGAATTTTTATGCAGATTGTTAAAATAAGGTGTATCACACATTATGGGACTGAAGATCTTCCATTTACTTATGCTCAAGCCACAGATCAAGCAAATGTGCTCCAAAAAAAAAGGTGGATTTCAAAATGACACATGCATAGTAGTGATTCAGAAAGATGGACACAATTTCAATTGAAGAAAGTAGTCTTCTGGGATTTGGCACCGTGTATATGTGGTGTTAACCGACGTTTCAGAGGAACGTATCGCCCCCATCTTCAGGGTAGAAGAAAAAGTATAAGAAATCTGCAAGCGACAACACCGTGAGAAACGGTAAAGCAGACTGTCGGTTAACACCACATATACACGGTGCCAAATCCCAGAAGACTGCTTTCTTCATAGTCACCGCCATGAAAGCCTCAAATCTTAACAATTTCAATT